TCAAGGCCTGACAAAACCAGACCATCACCAGGTGAGATCGATCCCAAGACTGGGAAAATAACATGTCGGAACTGTTCTAGAAACCAAAACTGGTCTCTGGACAAAGAGTGGCCTCTAGACCTCCATCTCAGTCAAGGATCAAGATCATACATGATCATGAAAAGTTGACATAATACTCAGTACATTAATCTTCTTTAAAAATAACCATTAGTAGCAGCCCATTTCTACTTGTACTGTAAGGAGTAGCTCCTACTAAGATTCTATGCCCCAACATCAACAATGATATACCGGCACCAATATGTGTGAAAAATGTGTTGCAAAAAAGTAATAATAACATATTCCCAAGAAATGAGTCTTGTGGAAGTAAAATAAAAGAAGACTGGTCAGACTAAAGTTTGGATTAATAGGTAAAGGTGGAAAATTATAATTATAATCATAATTATAACGAAAACATACAAATTCACTTAATATGACTAGATGAAGACAGAATAGACCATATACATTATATTGTTTTCATGCTTCAAAAGTTTATTTAATGCAAGGCTAAAGAAAAGAGGGTTTTACTTAAATCACCACTTATAAAACATTCACTCTGCTCTAATCTAACTGTTGTTTATGTGTGGGTTATTCTACTGTGTTAGAAAAAAGGAGAAATTATATGAAGTAAAAGAAGAAATGGCTTTTAGAAAACAGGATTTCTATGTGGTAGAATAACTGAAAGACAATAAAGCATCCTCCACCGGTTCTGGTTCATGCTTTTTTATACCAGAAAAACGCTTCCTCTCGGACTGCTCAGACTTTCTTGGCACAGACAGATGGGAGACGTTCCCAACATCCTAAGTCATCCCAGCACTTTGGAGCTAAACAGACAAAAAAAAAAATCTGTAAATATCACAGAAACCAAATACTGTTTACAAAGAACTATGATTGTAGGGAAGCTTGATATTCTACAACCGATTTCCAAAACAAAAACACAAAGCAAACAACAATATATGCCCCTGTATTTAATCCAGTAAATGTAATAGTGTTGTAGCTAAAGTTTTACTAACATAGTTAACCTGCTAATTATTCATTACTCCTTTAACTGCTTGAAAAACATACAATGTGTGATATTTTCTTTTACCATCATGGTTCATCTCCAAACAGTGCTGGGTGCCTCGCCAATTGTTAGGCTCTCCTCGACACCAGTTTGTGTAGTAGAATTGGCTTCCATCGCTCCAAAACCAAATGCTTGTCTGAATGAAAAAACCCAGTAGATTATAAACGTCTTTCAATCATTTATCAAAATACTTAACAAATAAACTAATTAGAAAAAAAAATACCTTCTGTGCGTTATAGCCTCCAATCCATGTACGTCCGGACCTATAACTTGCTGTTCTTATCACATGCTGAATCTGATGGTACTCCCTTAGGTTATGAACTGATGCCAGGTGTCCCCCCATAAACATGCAGTGCCTCTGCAGACAAAAAACAGAATGATATACAAAAGTAGTAGCTGCATTTTTTTTATTAACAACCATAAAATAAGAGAGTAAAAGAGCATAAGAGCACAATGTTATTGAAAATCACCTCAGCTGAAGCCCAATTCATGGGCATGGAAACATAGTGGTAGCAGTTACCGTTGTACTCAGACCAGCCAGAAGGACAAGAAGCAGATCTCTGGACCAAGTCCATTGCTTCTAAATACAAACAAATGGAGATCCTTAGTTAAAAGCAATGTATGTCAGCATTAGAATAAAGTTTATTCTTCATGATCATATTACAAAACAACACTCACTGACCTTCATCAGCAGAGCCATCAACTGGAACAGCTGTGGGCATTTTAAACAACAGGAATTAGTGAGTTTGTTTGAGTCTTAGTAACTTTACAAACTCTGTATACTTGAGAAATGCTTACGATCAGCTCCGACCCATGCCATCTCAGAGAAAACCAGGACACACAAAACCAGCAACTTCATGATGGAAGTGATGAAATGATGGAGATATACAAGCTGAAATTAATGAAAAATAAGTTACATATGTAAC